TGGCCTCATTGAATACAGAGCACATCCTTTCTGGATGCAAAAGTACTGTCCTTCCCATGAAGATGATGGCACTCCTAGGTGCTGCAGTTGTGAACGAATGGAGGTCAGTACAGGGTTTTATATCTGTCAACGAGACCAGTTTCCCTGTTCAATTCCTGTTTGGAAGCCGGTCAGTTTTGACTAACATTTAGAAAATACAGCAGATTTGCTTGGAATCAGTATAGATCCCTATACATCATCGCTGAATAGATTGAGTAGCTACATCATTTAGTCATTTTGTTGTTACAATTCTCAGTTGCGACTATTGCACTTCACTGCTAGTTTTAGAATGCCAGCAGGGTATGTAATACGCGAGCCAACTAGTGATATTGGCCTGTGTCACCTGTTGTTATGGTGTGGTCTGAAAATAGAGATCTGCATGGATATTTTAGATATGTTGGAGCCAGCATATATAGCCCAGCTTCTGACCTCACTTAATCCTTTTGCACAAATGACGACACAAGTGTAAGCAGGGTACTCTTTCTAAGTCCAGGCAATATGTGGGCTCAGCATACGGAGGCAATACACAGTTCATTTGCAATTAAGTTTTGTGCCTTTATTGGTTCTTTTATTTCTTCTGCAATTATTCATTTTCAGTTTGCTCTTTCTATGACATTACAAGTTGCCCTGGGTGTCTATGTTCTTATGCTCCTTCCATCCTGAAATTCAGCCAAGGGAGATCAAGTACATAACATTAGATGATGGGAGGAAACTCTGCTTGGAATGTCTCGCTTCTTCAGTAATGGATACTCCAGAATGTCAACATCTTTACATGGATATTCAGGAATTTTTTGAAGGTTTGAACATGAAAGTAGAACAGCAAATTCCATTACTTTTGGTTGAGAGGCAGGCTCTGAATGAAGCCTTGGAAGCTGAGAAAAATGTAAGTGACATGAACTGGTTATTTGGTGCACAATACTTGACATACTCCCTAACCTATGACATTTTATTTTGCTTTTTTGCTTTGTTCAAGGGGCACCACCTACCAGAAACCAGAGGTCTATGTCTTTCTGAAGAGCAAATTGTTAGAACGGTGAGTTCTTTAGTTTCATTTCTCTGCTGATTTGACTACTAACACAGGTAAACTTTAGGAGATGCATGTACTGAGTGATATAATTCTTCCAGATCTTAAAAAGACCACAGATTGGACCAGGAAACAGAATCATAGATATGATTATAGGACCATACAAGCTGTCTCGGCTGTGTGAAGTGACTGCAATCCTTATTATATATGGTCTGCCAAGGTAAATTATTTTACCTTTATTTCTTCCTCCTTGATTGTTTTACTAATGTCATCCTTCAAGGCTTCTGCCACTTCCATTGTGAATGAACCTCTAATGGATCATGAAGTCGTGAAGTTCTTATGTTTGAAGCATAGCTAGGTAGATCTACTTACTTGTTAATATGATGGCTACGCAGATTACAAACTGGTTCCATTCTTGCCCATGAGATGATGCATGCATATCTTCGTCTCAAAGGTAATTTATTTATGCTAATAATTTTTTGGGCCTCACATGTATCACTATCACTTTCTGCACTCATTTTCTTCCAAAAGAAAGATAGACAATTGGTACTCTTGTTGCTGACATTATTTTTCTTTCTGTAGGATTCCGAAATCTTAGTATTGAGGTTCATTTTCTTCCAAAAGAAAGATAGACAATTGGTACTGTTTGTTGCTGACATGATTTTTCTTTCTGTAGGATTCCGAAATCTTAGTATTGAGGTTGAAGAAGGCATCTGCCAAGTTCTGGCCCACTTGTGGTTAGAGTCAGAAATCATCGCTGGTTCTAGTAGCAACGTCGCATCCAGTTCAGAAGCATCATCTTCGTCATCCTCAGGTCCTACCTCTTCAAAGAAGGGTGCAAAGACCGAATTCGAGAAGAAGCTTGGGGCATTCATCAAGCACCAGATCGAAACGGATTCTTCTGAGGCATATGGAGGTGGTTTTAGAGCTGGCTATCCAGCTGTTGAGCGCTATGGCTTGAAAAGAACCCTTGATCATATTAAGTTGACAGGGACTTTCCCATATTAAAGCAACTGAAGTAAAGGAGGGGGCATTCTTCCATTTGTGAGGATACTCCACATTGGAGGATTTTGGTTTCGGTTATACATATACTGGTATACATAGTTACATACCAAATGAGGGGAATTTGGCTGTAAATCAAGAGGAGAAAGAACCCGTTGGTGCAAAAACTTATTGCAAGTGTCTTTTTACTTTTTATAGGAAAACAATACATGTAAGTTTTCAGATAGGGAAATTGAAAAGACCATATGTAATGGTGAACTCTTTGCTCAGTTCTCTAGTTCACTTCCCCTTTACACATTTACGTTTATTCCCCACAATGGGTAAAACTCGAATTTCGTTATCTCAGATTAAGAAATTACAAGGGTCAATTAGTTTACTGTCCCCAAACTAGAACTAAGAGTTACTGCCAATCCAAAAGATTTAAGCGCTAATAGGAAGTACTCTCTACATTTATCTTGTTATAAAGGCGTCAATATATGCTTTTCATCGTTAATGTATCTTAAAATATGTCATTAGTTACTACAAAATCATTTTTTCATTAAAATACCTGAATTTTAGTCTCCTTTCAGACAATGTTTATTGTATATATTCTATATTAAAATTACATATTTTGTTCATTGTAATTTTTGTAGGCGTAATCTGCAATTTTCGGTACCGAGATAAAAAAAACCGTTAGACAAAACCACAGACCCGACAAAATCTAATTTATGTTAGCACAAAGACAATTAATAATTTACAATTTTTTTAATAGAAAGTAAAGGACAAAAAATTTAATATGTTACGACACAAAAACAAATAACAAATCATAAAAATAACAATTTACTTGTACTAGTTGGTGGTATAAAAGTGTTGCCTAAAATCATCTTAAAATTTAGGCACCTGAAATATAGGAGAAGCGTAAAATATACACCTATGAAATATGAATATGTTGATTTATCGTTTCAACACAATGTATGCTTTGAAAATTAATGTATTGTATAAACTATGTTATTAATTACTAGGGTAATTCTCGGTGGGAGTTCTATCAGAGTTTTATTTGTATTTAATAAGTTATCACATAAGCGTTTTTGATGATGTGGTAACATTTTTAAGATGGGAGAGAAGAAATTAGTTCCATGGGGATGGAACTCTCAAGATGAGTTATATAATTAAATGTCTATGAAACAAAAGGATGAAACTATGTATTGAGAGTGATGGTTTCATCCAAGTTTTATTGCATTCTATGTTCTTAGAAACAACGTTATAAAACTAGAATGACCTAAAAATCAATGTTTTAATAAGAGATATGTGAAACATTGTTTATGCACATTGTACATATGTTTTGATTAACTAATTGTCAAATTTCATGATTTAGCAAACTAAGCATAGCTCACTGGTTAGGTTACCTGTGGTGGAACTTGTCATCTTTTTAAAGTTGTTGATTTGACTAGGTGCTCAAATTTTTTAGGATCTATTTTTGGATTTAACGAGACTATTTTTTCAGTGATAGATGACGTGCTCGTCGATAATGAGACGTCAGTTGTCACTTACCAATCTCAAGATCTGCTGCTTATGTAAGAGCCTGTATTTTGAAAAAAAAAGTTCATGATACTTGTTTTTTTTAAATCCTACTATTTTTTAGTGAAAAAAAATCCTACTAATAATAGTCCAACAAACCTAAACATAAAAGTCCACATTATCTCCCTCAACTTTCGCGAAAGTCTGTTTTTCTCTCTGAACTCCAAAACCGGGCAAAACACTTCCCTCAACTTTTAAAACCGTTCATCTTACCTCTCTAGCCCTGTTATAAGCAGTTTTGAAGGCGGTTTTGTCTTTTTCTTTTTAATTTATTTTGGCTAAATCTTTGAAAAATCATAGTAAATCACAGAAAAATTATAAAATGGAAAATCTAATTTTGCTGGAATCCATATGAGTAGATCTACACAGTGAACATATAATATGATATGCTTTAGTACAAAGTTTTTGCTGTGGCTTTAAATCTATAGTTTTCTGTAATTAATTGGAATAATTCATAGCTGCAATTTTTATGGTCCAATTATGATAAAATTTTTATGGTGGACTAACTATTATATGATTGAACTATAGTAAAAATTTCATACTCATTGGATCATGTATAGCTTAGTTATAGATTTATTTATATTTAACAAGCATAAACCTAAATAAAATATATAACTAAGTTATACATGATCCAATAAGTATGAAATTTTTACTACAGTTTAAGCATACAAGAATTAGCCTACCATAAAAATTTCACTACAATTGAACCATAGAAACTGCAGCTATGAATTATTCTATTTAATTATAGAAAAGCATAGATATAAAGCTACAGCAAAAACTTTATACTAAAGCATACCATATTTTATGTTCACTATATAGATCTACTCATGTGGAGTCCAACAAAATTGGATTTTCTATTTTATCATTTTTCTGTGACTTACTATGATTTTTCAAAGATTCAGCCAAAATAAATAAAAAGAAAAAGACAAAACCGCCTTCAAAACTGCTTATAACAGGGCCAGTGAGGTAATATGAATGGTTTTAAAAGTTGAAGGAGGTGTTTTGTCTGGTTTTAGAGTTCAAGGAGAAAAAGTGGACTTTCGCGAAAGTTGAGACAAGTAATGTGGATTTTTTCATAAAATGGAGGCACTATCCACCACAACCACGTCCAATGCCGGAAAGCCCCAATGGCCTAGTTGAGTCCAGTACTCCAGTCGGCCCAGCCAATTGATTGAGACGGACCAGCTCGGCCCAGGCCGGCCCTCCGTCCGCCGCGACGAGATCCGCGCCTCCCCGCGCGTGGACGCTCCACGCCTCTGGCTCCCCGACGCCCCTCTGGCTCCCCGACGCCGGCGAGCGCCGAGAGGGGTGCGCCCCTAGTTCTTTCTCTGATCTCTACCCCCAAGCTCCTTGCGCCGCCTTCTCCTCATCCTGACAAATGGCAGCGGGGGGCGGGCGGTGCTTGCTCGCCGTGGCGCTCGCCGCCGCTTGGATCTCCGGCTCGGCGGCCGCAGCCTCGTCGTCGGCTGAGCAGGTACGTGGGCTGGATGGGCGCTCCTGGTTCACGCGGATTTACTTGTGCACAGTTTTTGCGGAAATTATGATGCTTTGTTGGTTCGGATTTGCTGGAGCTGGGGCCGTGGTGCGCGTTCATGTATACTGTGTGGAAGGGTTACGGAAATCGTTCGTTTTTAGCTGATGCTGAATTTTACTGTACTTGTACTCTTTTAGTGTAAGTGTCGATCTATCCCAAGTTCGACTTAAATGTATGCTTGTTTGAGTTGGGTGGCCAGGGTAATTAGCTGTATCTCGTTTGGATTTTAAGATGCACCTTGCTTCTAATAATATTTCCATTCAGATTCGGTTGATGCTTATGTGGGTAAGTTTTAATTATCGCATTGCACAGGCAGGTGGAAGCCACAAATCCATCAAATGCATGCCCTGCTCTAGGCCGTACATTGGTGATGCATATCTCCACGACACCATGACGGGCCAGCTTGCTCAGCGTCGTGACCTAGTGGAAATGTCTGATTCTGGTGAATTGTGCAAAGGACTTGCTGATGATGTTGAAGTGCCTGTGCTCTCAAAATTGCGCCGGCAACTGGTTGGTGAAGGTTCTCACCGCCGTTTAGTCTACTCTATGGATTTTGGTGCCTGTGAAGGTGCTATGATTAATTTCCTTGATGGCTATGATGCCCATCTGGTGATATTTGAAAAACTCCCGGACGGAGTGTTCGCTGACCCATTTGAGCTACAACATTTTGTTGAGCGCAAAGGTGAAATCTGAATCTGAGGTAGACTATAGAACTGCATTATTATTTGCATTCTGCTAATTTAAAAAATCTTGCAGTTTTTGTTGATGTTGCTGTTTTTGGAGACACCAATCTTGAACTTCCCACAGCTCTATCCAATCGGTCATCTGTCGAGATTCATTTTGATCTCAGGCTAATCATTTCAACCAACTGTAGCCTTGTAATAGACATGCCTCTCCATGCTAGATACCCGGTAAGGTTTATAAACTACCAGTGGCAAAAAAGAAATACTGTTCGTTTGAATTATTGAGTTCCTGCTATCTGCAATTGAACATTACTTGTTCATTTGAATTATTGAGTACTAGCTTAGGATATGCTTCTGTACTGAAAATTCTGCCTGCAAATTATTCAGATTTGCCTAAACATGGATTTGAAGGGCGGGCCTGGTGCAAGCAGTAGAGTCTTACCGCCTGTGACCGGAAGGTCCCGGGTTCGAGTCGCGGTCTCCTCGCATTGTACAGGCGAGGGTAAGGCTTGCCACTGACACCCTTCCCCAGACCCCGCACAGAGCGGGAGCTCTCTGCACTGGGTACGCCCTTCCTAAACATGGATTTGCTTGAATGTTTGAAATATTCAGCAACTTGGTGGTACATTATTTCCATGATGGACATCAAACAATGCATGCGGAAACATAGAAGCTCTTACATTGGGTCACGCTGATGCATAATAATAGTAGATATATGTTTGTCTCTCCCTTTCGCATGTTTTGTACAGAACATGGGCCTAATATTAGATAATCTATCCAACAACTTTAATAATTTGTGTTAATTTGCTTTCTATGCAAAATAATATCTTGCCAGTTTCTATGGATTTATGCGACTGTGATGGGCCGCCCCATGTGCATGGTACCTTTAAAGGTTTCTAAGGAAGTTAGAAAAAAAAAACTGGAATTGTTTAGAATTCTGATGGATTACTGTAAAAATAATTTCAGTTGCAGAGTCAACCGGGAGACAGGGAAATGAGAGTTGGATGATTATATGAGTAACGAACTGAAAATGACTATTATCATAAGTTGTGCTTTGTAAGCCCAACTTATCTAAATTAAATTTGAGCTTAAAACGTTTACTGGATTGATATCCTGGTATTTTGCTCTACTGTGTATCTGTCTTAATTATCTTTGGAAGTGTTAAAGTTGGGATACACAGAATATATAACTGAATTATGTGATTAGGGCACCCGCAATGGGTGACTCATAAGCAGCTCTAAGCATTTTTTTATATTTTAATAGAAGAGAGAAAAGCTAGCTCTTGATCAAATACACACATTTCTAGATGATGTGAGAGTGTAATGTGGGGCTATTCATGTTATGAGCTATATGCTAAAAGTTAACAGTATCGAAGAAGTTCGCTTAGAGCTAGCAACTACCTTATACCATTGCGGGTGCCCTAGGACTCAGACCGTGAAGAGAAAGTTCTATTATTGCATTTGATTTGCTCTTGCTAGGGAATAATAGGTGGTGGAATACTTATATAAGAGATGCTCATGCTCAATGTTAAGGAGAGATTGATGATGGTTCAAGTAATGGGAAAAAAGAAAAAAAAAGTGTTCTGCTATGCTACAAACATGCCTGAAATTCATGGTGTTTTGAAATAAAATACATGTTTCGTTGTTTATCTTGGTCAACTTCTCATATGCATATTTAGTAATAATCATTTGTCAGAACATTTCTGAATAAACTTAGTTGATACCAACTGTGATGCTTATTTGCAGCCTCTTGATGCGAGTGGCTATGCCACGGTGGAGTTTGGTAACCCAGATCTGCTCCTCCGCTACAGAAAAAAGGAAATCCATTCTGATTCCTGTCTTTGGGTGACTAAGAATCTCAAAGCTGCACCCCTGGAGAAAGCTACATGGCGCATACCCTGTGGAGATGAGGCCCACATAGGATTTGTATCTAGCATCACGTTTCTTTCAGCTCTTGTTTGTTCCATGTCCATTGTGCTAGCTGCTCTAATTTTTTGACATCCTAGGCTCCTAGCAGGTCCAAGTTTTTTCTTTATCTTTATACAAATACTGAAACGGGAGACAGTAAAATTTTCTCCATGCATCCACACATCCTTGCAAATAACAATCCAATTGTCATTAATTTTGATGGCACTAGAGGAGTCTTTGCAAGTTCCATTGAAATGGAGTTGCCAACTTCCAATCACATACAGACCAGAACCAGATCAGGGTTCCTCTTTGTGATGGAAAAAGGAGTTCCAAAAGAAAAATCATTTACTTCAAGTTCAGTTTATGCTCCTGAGGCAGTCTGAGTCAGAAGCTGCAATGCCCCATCATCTTGTAAGAAGGCAAGTTTTCTTCTTACTTTTTTCTTTAAAAAAAAAAAAGAAGACTAATAGATGAAGCATCAAGTGCAAGCTATTATGTGTAAATAAAGGTGGTTTTTGTTCTGTTTCAGGTAAGCAGCTTGCGAGCCCAATTCTCAGGAGTGTTGCTGTTCTGTCTTGCCTGACAATCTGGACCTGCAGGAGGAAACCTGATTATATTGTGTTGACAACATGGTTGCAGAGCACAATGTTGATTGATACAGAATCACAAATAGTCTCATGTCAGATATTAATTTATTTTTTTATGGGATTGGTGGCATCAAATTACTACCAGTTACAGTACCACTGGCTCCTGTGAGGACTTATTTGTAACTAGAATAGAGACAAAGGTTATAATTGGCTCACGGCAGTCTTTCAATGGTATGAAGTTGATGCTCTGGGTTCAACCATTTGAATGCAACCATGCTTTTAAACAATCTGATGCATTTATAATCTTCCATTCTAGTAAATGATTTCAACCATTATAGACACAACGGGAATTTTCCTATAAAGACCGGTTGGAACAGAGGAATGGGCTCGTTCCCTAGGAATTTGGAGGATTTCTAACAAGAGATTTAACGTCTTTGATGTCTGAAGTTTCCTTTGTGTCTATATATATAATTTCTCTGTCTTCCATCAAGTATGGTACGTTACTAATGTTCTGTTAACTCATAATAAGTACCATCCTCTGTCCCAAATTATAGGCCGTTTTGATTTTTTCTAGATATTTATAGTTTTTGTTATACACCTAAATATACGATATGTCTAGATATATAATAAAAATTGTGTACTAGAAAAAACCAAAACGACCTATAAATTGGAACGGAGAGAGTAGAAGAATAAGATCATGAGCAAGAGACACCACATTTTCAAATAACTGGTTGCCATACTGAAAACTATTGTAGCATCAACTTTAGCTCAACCAAAACATGCTTGATTTCTCATGGATCTTCCCAACTTCGAGGTACAAGAAATCGAGAATACAAACCGTGCGAATAAAAATCATATGGTCACTCAACACTCAAGGTCTCAAGCTCTAACCACTAGAGTTCATGCCCCTTTTCTCACCACACCTTAGAGTTCATTTCCCCTTTGTTGCAAAATGTTTTCCCCTTTGTTGCAAAATATAAGCGTGGCGAAGAGACGACATAACCGAGCTCAGACGGGAGGCGGTCGGCGGTGGCGCCGTGGCAGCGATTCGGCCGTCGAGAGGAGTGTGATTTGGGTCCAGATTCTGGGAACGAGAGAAGACAGAGAGACAGAACGCGATCATGGACCAGTTTCATCAAATTTAAGGCCCATATTAGATAACGACTCATCAGTGTTTTTTTTTACGAAAGGCCCATCAGTGTTTTATTTAGTGTATTATTCATTTCTATTTCTTCTTTTTTCCCCCTCAATCCAGTTCTGGACCTGTTCGATCCTGCATGACCAACTGAATATCCGATCATGATATTTAATGTTGGTTTATTTTGACACTTCTCCTATATTTAAGGGGGTCGGATTTTTCGTTGTTGTTCTGTACTCCCAGTCCCATAATCCACGGTGAAAATACACACCTCAAAGCGCATGCGAATTTTTGAGGTGTAATGGAACTTAAGCAAGGAGACGAAGAAAAAAAGAAGTCGGCCTGTGAACAACGTGGGTATATTGTTTGTTTCCTAGTTCTTGCGGCTCGCAGCTGTTCACAATTTGGGTTGCAAAATGTCCCCATATATTCCCGCAGCTCCCAACCATCCACGGGTTGATTTTTTTCCTCTTTATTTATCTCCAAGTATAGGTTTCCATTGTAGTTAATTTTTGCATAGGTTTCTATTGTAGTTAATTTTAAGTTGTTGTGTATTCTAATCCGGTGGTTTTTTTATTTAGTTCCTATTCGAAAAACTAGACTGTCATCTTTTTCGTTCTTCTTTTAATAAAAGTCATGGCAAAGTTTTTTCCGTCCTTTCTAAAAACATTTATCTACTCACAATTTTTGCTGCACTCGTTCATTCAATCTCTAGAACATTTTCACCACGGTAGTACGGTAGCACCTTAACCCATGGGCTGCGCCCAAGTTTTCGGTGATCGAAGAGGAGGCATGCCAGCCACTGCCAACCTGCGATAGTGCGATCCCATGTCTGTCAGGCGAAAGCACCTTCTCTTCTGTTTGACAGTCGATTTGCTGGGGAAAAAACCCAAAACCTGACCAGTCTGTCTCTGTCTGTGTCGGATGCCGACAAATATGATTGCAGAGCACCTGGTTGATGATTGACCGATACTATAACAAATATGACAGCACGTACGTACTAGGCCCCGCACGTCTGTAGCCCGTGGCTGCTCTGTTCCATTCACTCGGATTCATGCACCGTCGGTGCCAGCTCTGTTTCCGGCGCTCGCAACCGAACCACCTACTTAAGATCCGCTGCTCGGATGACTCACTCCCGCCTCTTCCACACCGGCACGGTGCCCATATCTTCCAGGCTGCTCGGAAGACTCGCCCTCGCCTCTTCCACAATAGCATCGCGCGGCCTGTGCCTCCTCTCTACACCGCCGGCGGCGACCTGCACCTCCACGCGTCGGTGGTCGTGGCTTGGCCCTGCCCGCCCTCATGGACACAAACGTCGATGGTCTGCACTTAGCGTGCAACATAAAACACTCGAATGCAACATACATTTGAAACATATATAACATTTGGGACATACGCTTGCGACATGTGTGTGAA